AGTCTCCCATCCACGACACCATTGAGGCCACACACGCCACTTACGATGGCTGTGTATCCACGTTCTTGGAGCGGATGGCCGCCGGTGAGAAGCTTGAAGTGTTGGTAGCAACGCACAACCAGGTGAGGGCACTGCATTAGGAGGAAGGGATGGCTAGTCCTCAAACCATCAGAGAGGTTTCTTCCGACCTGCCGTCCTCCCATGCCTGGCCCATATTCCAAGCCTTGTGGGGCAGTACTAGCCCGGGCACGGGGAAGCGACAGCACTGTACGAGCGCACACGTGCCTCGGAACTCCCGCTCTTACATTCCCCTTTTACTCATTCAGGCGAGCATCGAGAAAACTTTGAGCGGGATGGATCGACTGGGTTTGCGGGGGGAGACCTCCGGCGTCTACTTTGGGCAATTGCTGGGCATGGCGGATCATCTGACATTGAGCTTAGGCAGCGCGGGGTACAAGGCCTACAAGTGTAAGTAGTGCGGGGGGAAGGAGCTATAAAGAGTGCAGAGAAGGAGTCGAGAAGAGGGGCAGGAGAGGAGTAGGCAGCGAAGCTACGAGGTTGGGTCAAGAGGAGGGGCAAGGGAGGATGAAAAATGGGAGTAGGACCGCGCTGGGCTTCTTCTTCGTGTGACTCACCCTGTCAATGTTGTTCACGTCACCACAGATGTACCTTACGGATTGGTGGGGCAAGTGCTTCCTTACCTAATCCGACGGGCCCAGGAAAATAGCGATGTTATGGGGGGGGTGAAGCATGAGCAAGGTCTGATTCGTGCCGAGCTTTGGCGTCGCATGTTATCTGCATAAAGGAACAAGAGAGGCGAAACCAGCGGGCGATGACGAGTGAAATTTGATGATCAAAATATCATGTCATGTAGGAGAAAGTGATGAAAACACCGGGGGGGGGAACCTGTTGAGGGGTGGGGTAGATAGACTGATGTGGTATCTTAAGACATGTGGCTGGGATTGTGAAGGGCTGTTGGACAAAAAAAGTGAATATAAAATGATAGGGTTCCGTCATGTCTCTCGTGGCTTAGTTGCATTGCCACGTTGCTGGCGCAGGAACATGTTATTTTTGGATGCGGCAGAACCAAGAGCTCGGAACGGTCTCTTCCGCGGGTAAGCGAGCGTCGCAGAGGAGCTCCTTGATGTCCAAACTTGCTGCAACTAGCAATTTACACCGGTGAACGCCTTGTGCAACGTCGGGCTTCAATTCCGATGTTTGGAAGGATTCATTGGTCGTTTAGTGGTAATTCTGTAGAAGACATGCAAAAGGATGGCCTTACATCTTGGCTAAGACGAGCGACTTGAAGCCAGCGCCACGACCGTGTTGAAGCGTCAGATAAACCTCAACTATTTCACATTTCAAAGTCACAGCTCACAATCATGCTTAATAGTGGAATTGTTCTTCAGGTAGCGTTCGTGGTGGTCTACTTTGCGTGGATCGGCACGGCCTTTTACGTACCATCCCCCACGCCAAATTGGTGGCTTGCTCCCAGTCCGAAGACAAGAGAAAACCCCTCCGCGTGCAAGTCTGCTCACGTCATTCTGTGCGCATCATATCAAGAGCAACTCGCACGGGCTAGGGCGGAAAAAGCTGCTCGACAGGCTGGAGGCGGTGCTGTCCCCCAGCCGCAGTATCAGCCACCCTCAGACGCGTATCGTGCCTCTTACCCCTCTCCGGCCAAGCAAGCCCAGCAAGCCCAGACTGTTTCATACTCTCCACAGGAAGAACAGCAACGAAATCGACCACCACATTCGGGGAGTCCGTTGCCTCAGGAAACAAACGAAGCAGTCGCGACGTTGCTCAACCTGCTAGGGGAGCGTCTCGGGACGGGGCAGCCATTGGCACCGGAAAAAGTGCGGGTGTTCACCGCGGCAGCTGAGGCTGTGATTAAGGAGGCACGCGGCATTGGATACAGCGTGAATGCACCGGTTGGACAGCAGCAGGAGGCTTATCAGTCACAAGCGCAGACGTTTTATTCACCACAGCAGCCGAGGCAGCCGGAACAAACCCAACCGCATCACCAACAAGACTACCCAAGACATCAATCCCAGGCCCCATCGTTCACGGCCAGCGGTTTCGAGCAAGACGAAGATATTCCTTGGGAAATGGGCTCGCGGACGTTGACGGGTCCGGCGCCTGGTTTCCGGGCAGCTTCGGCCTACCAGCCTGCGGGAGCGGGTGGTTTTGACGAAGAGGGGGATGACTTTGAGACTTACGGGCTGCCTCAACCTGTGACAAGGCAAAAGAAAAGTCCATTCATGGAAACGCTGAAAGGCACGCCGTTTTATGTGGACATTGCAGAGCAACCAGTGAGCTCGGACGAGTATCTGAGGATTATCCAGAGCCGAATTAAAGCGGCTCAAATGAAACGCCGGCAGGAGCAAGCTCATACGGGCATTGAGTCCGCAAATCATTACATGGAGGAATTAAATCGTAAAAAACAAGAACGTTTGCGATTAGAGGCGGAGCAGGCTCGACAGTGGCAGGAAGGGGGTCAGTGAGAGCGTGGGGCGGATACCTGTTTCGAAGATAACTGGCCTGGAATAGAATGACGGGCGCATGTATCAAGAATTCACCATCGTGAAAATAATTCTAGAAGGTGCTATATCCTCATAAAGTGATAATTTTAAGTGATAATTTTTGACCGTAAATTTCTGTTATCGATCCTTTTCCGCGATTACGATCGTACACGGAAACATGAGAAACGGATACATATATGTTTTGCCTCTTAATCGAATTTTGATGCATTTATAAAGAATTCAATATCGTCCTAGTCACAACTTCAAAAGAAATGGCGCCATGGACAATTTCTTTGTCCGCCGAATCGTCATGGTCATGGCAAGTTCACAAGGCTTTCCATTAGAACAGACATTTAAGAATTTGAATCTGCAACGGTTCGGAGAAGAGAAAACCTATGGAAACTGACATAATGGGAATGAGAAATTGTGTTCCAGGATCCATGCGGATTTACGGAATTTAAAATTTACTTGTGGGCATGAGCTTTTTAGATATTTTAGTGGATGTGTGGATTAACAAATTTTTAAGCAAATTATTTGTCAGCGCTCCCGGCCGACATAGTTAGCTTCAAGATCGTGTTTAACACTAATACTTACTAACGATCCCTGCGCATGCATATCCGCATACATGTATTCCAGGGATGAAATCAGCTAAGGATGGAGAATCCGTGCAGATGGAGAGGACTCCCCTGACGGCGCCGTCTTCCCCCCTTTCATATTCCTCCTCCCCCCTATCCTCCTCCTCCTCCTCCTCCTCCTCCTCCGCATTATCCTCTCACCAAATAGGTGATAATGCTTCATATCAGTTAAGAAATGTATCTGCTACCTTTGAGGCTACTGAAGTTTATCTTACATCTTCGTGTAATCGTTTGCATCACTGCCTTAAATGCACATTGCATAGTCGTTATTTTTACGCCAACGCCATCTACTGTATTTACTGCATGGGAATGCTTTGCATAGATTTTGTTGATTATGGGGAGAAAAAAAATGATAGGCTCTATAACATTTTCGGCATCATACATTTCATCAATGCTTGGATGTACTGGTACGCATGGGAGGGGGTAAGGTGGTCAGACCCGATAGTCTACCCTGAGTACCTTAATGCTGTAGGGGCGGCTTTGTACTTGTGGTCTTCAACGTTATACCAACGAGAGCAAGGATCAGATGATGCAGCCACTTCCCAAGTTCATGTGCTTGAGACATGTGCGGCATTTGTGGAACTCTTCGCTTGTGTTGGATGGGCCATTTCATGGCATGCCTCGTATGAAAGAGGTCCTGGACGTGGCTACACTTTGGAAGACCCAGACGTCTGGGCGCTGCTGACCATTTTTGCAGCTGCTGTCATCTACGTAATTTACAATTTGCAGATAATCGCCCAACCCAGCTGGTATGGGACGGACTACCTGTACTTTTGGGGGGATGTCTTCTACGCGATAAATGGAGCCTTGTACTTGATTGCTGGGCTGAGGGACGATGGATGGTTCTGGTGGATGCCATTGGTCAGAAGCTTGAGGCTCCCAATCGCGGATACACAAGCGACGTACGCCGTGAAAAGCACTGAGAGTAGGGTCATGGTACTCAACGTGGATGAAATTGCGGGCAGGGGAGGGGGAAAAGGAACGGATCCACCACTGCCAGTAAATTTGGAGGAGGAGAGTGAGGTCCAGAAAGCATTTTTCAGGACGGCCAGGCTAGCCTTGATACCTCGCGAAGAAAAGCTCGAGACATCGCTTGTATAAGAGAGTAATATTCAGATGGTTCAGGTATTCATTATTAGGATCGGCTGAGGGTCGTGAGAGGAAAAACATTGTTTCACTTTTTCCTTGTATATATGCAACGACGTTCCCCTGCTCGTTGTACACCTGTGAGGGTTTACAGCGTCTTACGCATCGGGGCCTCGAAGGCTTGGATTGATGAGGAATATGACGAATTGGAGAGGGTTAATAATCAGTTCACAGATGCTTTGTATGAATGGATGCCACATGAATGAACGATCATAAAAGACATGATATCAAGTGCAGCAAGCACATTTATCATCTACCGCATCGAAGCGTCCATCCCTTTGAACTTGCCTTTCTCGGGGAACCCGATGCCCGCTAGCATTGCGTTCCCCCCGCGGTCCTCTTTAACATCCAACTACCATTCTCCAACAGCCACATCCCTTTCGAATCACAACTTTCGTGCACTCCTTCTTTTGGGCCCGTTGGCGCCTGGCATGGGCCTCCTGCGCATCGAGGTCTTCCCCATGCCACACAACCCTTCCCTGTGACGCTCCCTCTCCTTGTCCGTCCCTCCCCTACCAGGAACGCACGTTCAATTGTTTTTGGTATGGCAAAGCCGGTGTCATTGACTTATACTTCCACTTTGGTCCCTCGGGCGCGCACTCGTGAGATCCCTCCATCGGGATATATTGTCAGTTTTAAGTGCGTCACCGCCCCCCCCGCTTCCGCCCGTCCTCCCTCCGCCCCCACATCAAAGTAAGCCTGTTGATCTGCTCCCAACTTTGTTCTAGGCAGCAAGATGCGCCAAGGCACTTCCCCTAGCTCTTGCGCCTTGTGCACGTCCTCATTCGACATGTCCAGGGGCAACTCGACTGCCTCCACCTGACAGCTTTCAGGGTAATTCCCCTTGAACCAACACGTGTCAATTTCAAGCTCTCGGACCTTCCCAGGCGTTCCCAAGCGTAAAACGGCCCAATCACTTCCGGGTACCTTGATAAGTCCTCCTTCGTCAGGCTCGAGCACGGGAGGCCGGGTCAACTTCCGAGCGGTCTCCCAACCGTCCCCCATGTTGATCCCACGCCCCGGGTTGATCAAGTTCCGAGGGTGGCCATAGTGCTTGTCACTGCATCCGATGGCCTTTCCGCCATTCTCAACGGCTGCCAGATCCACGACCTGGGTGGCCGGGACCAAATGCCAGGCTCGGGCGACGATTCCGTACACACGCAGACGCGCGATGCCGCCGTCGGGAAACATGTTCAGGCGCAGGTGGGTGAAGCGCTCTGTGGCTTCAATGGCAAAATAGTTGTGGCACGTATCTTTGTAACCGGCACCCAAGGGGGTGAAGGGTAAAATGGTTTCCCAACTATCCGAATGGACGCTCGCTGCTAAGGTCATCTCCTCCTCAGAGGCCTTGCTGCCTATTTTATCTCCACCTGGAACCTCAGTGCGTGCTGCAGCCAGTTTTTGAAGGGCGATGGGTTCGTTGTCATCAATGTATGAGGCAGCTTGGATAGAGCAGCGAGGCACGTAGTTGCCTGTGAAGAAGGAGGTGTCCACACCCACGCCCAAAATGCGACCGGGGAAAGCCAATTTGATAATACACCAATCGTGACCTGCTGTACGTTTTCGCCGTGTCTCCCACCCATCCATCCATTTTCCGTAGGCTGTGAATTTATCTGGGATAAAAATCGGTTCCTCGTGATCGAGTAAATTCTCTGCGGCAGCAAACCAATCGTCGGTTGCAAAGCATATTCTGCCACCAAAACGACTTAAAGCCAGGTCCGTTTCTTCGACAAAATCGGGCAGGGCAGTCGTATGACTCTGTTGCATGGGTCGATCAGCCATTGAGATCCACGACTTGCGAAGTTGGATTTATCTAAGGAAAGGTTGCGTGCAGTACAGCTCCTGCGTGGGACGAGGGGAGGTTATTGAAGCCCATTTGATGATATTGGCAAAGCACATTCACGGAGTTGATACAAAAGCACAGGCCTTTACCCTACCAAACAGCAACAATAGACAATGTCAGCCTCGAGAAGAGTATGAGGTCATGTCGGCGTACACGGTATTATTTATAAGACCTGTTGAAAAACGGACATGTCGCCCCGGGCTTGAACATGTAGAAATGAGATTTATAGGGGAAATGCGAGATACCCCCAAAAAAAAATACTCCTTCCCTGGAAACGCACGTGTATACTTGAGGCCTCCGCTTGCTGGGCAGATTATCGTCGTCGTAGAGATAGCACTCCATGGCCGCACATGTGCGTCGCGCGGACAGCTAGCCTGTTTTTTGGCACGCACATTATCTGGCGGTGGGGGCGATTTCACCTCATTGCCTCGCTTACTCGTGGAAAGCATGCGACTGGCCTTGCCTGATACATTTTGGCTCACAGTAGACGTTCTCAACGACTTTTGAACCGCGTACACAGGGATTAGCATGCTCAGATGTTTACAGAGGCAGCATCGAACTTTTTTTGCGGCCCGACGGGTACAACCACCATTTGTTGCGCCTCCTTCCTCCAGCCTCCGTGCCCGGCAAATACGTCCCCAGGTCCTCAAGTTGTCCTCGCTGTGGACCAAAGCCACGGCAGAGCTCAAATTGCGACGTCTTGACACCCGGGCGCATGAGGATTTGCAACGCCTGTTGCATGAAGGTCAGATGGAAAACGCCATGGTGTCTCTTTTGTCTTTGCGTAAGCAAGGCTTCTACCCTGCCCCGGCCCTGGTCGATCATTTTACAAGGCTGTGTGTGCGCTCGAACCGTCGTGAGGTGGCATGGGGCTTGCTACGGCAGGAGGGGATACCAGCGCACCTGTCCACGTACAAAGCATTGTTAGCCTCCTATGTCGTGCCCCTGGAAGACTCGCCCAGCAAAGCTTTCTCTGCAGAGCCCTTGGAGCAGGGCAAGGAGCGACTGCCGCCGCCGTCACCGCCGCAATCCTCTCAAGCTCTCCGCCTTTTCGAGGAGATGCAAGTGTTGCATCATGTCCCCCCCGACGCGGCTTGTTACTTGCTCGTCCTTCACGGTTGTGCCGAGGCCGGGGAGTGGCGCGAGGCTTGGCGTCTGCGAACGGATTTGTTGGCCCGGTCCGCGAGTAGCGCCCTGGGAGAGGAAAGGGAGCTCTCTGGGGCGAGTGAGGCCTCTGCAGAAACACGCGATGTGGGCAGGAGGAGCCTGCCTCCTGTCCTGTACGCCCTGGGCCGTGACGGCCAGACACCCAAGGCGCTCGCCCTCCTGCAAAGCGAAGCAGAGGCGGAGCATGTCGATGCCAACGCCGTCGCCGCCCTTTTGGAAGGGGTCATGGCCCGAAGTGGAGGCATGGGGGAGGCCTTGGAGGTGGCGAGGAGCCTGGAGGGGTCGGGGAGGGGGCTGGCAGGGGAGGGGGCCTCGGGCGGGGTAGGGGAGGGAAAGGTAATGTCTTGGGGGAAGGACATGCTCCTGGCCCTTCTCCGATCCTGCAGGCAAGTGGGTCTGTGGCAGGACGCGGGCAACCTCCTCTCTGATCCCGCCTTCCACCTCGCCTCTCCACCCGACCCTCCCGCCCTCCCTTACACCTTGGCCGTCGGTGCCTGTGCGCAAGCCTCGCCTCCGCAGCCCGGGCCAGCTCAGAATCTCGTCGAATTCATGGGCCCAGTTCCCGACGCCAACACGTACCTGGAGCTTCTTCGCGCCTTCTGGAAGGCCGGGCGAGGCCTGGAGGGGGTCTCCTTTCTCCTCGAGCCCGCCCGCCTAGGCCGGACCGACTTGGCGATGGACGCCCCCTCCCTCCCTCCCTCCCTTCCTCCCGCCTTCCCCCGAGACCTTCGGTCCTACCATGGTGCCATGCACGTCTCTCTCTTGCTCAAAGAGTACGCGACCGTCCTGCGTCTGTGGGCGGCGTGTGTGGCGCGGGGATTGACCCCGAACGCGATCACCCGCGACTACGTGATACAGGCGTGCCTGAGCAGTGGCAGGTGGAAAGACGCGTTGCGGGCCGTGGAAGAAAGCGACATCGGGCAAAAGGAAGGGCGGACGGGAGCAAGGCAAAAAGGGTGGGTGGTGGAGGAAGGGAAGGCGGCAGGGAGGGAGGGAGGGAGGGAGGGAGGGAAGGAGGAAGGGTTGGCGGGATGGAGAGAGGGCTTGAGAGACCAGGAACGGCAAGAGTTTCGTCCTGGGCGTGGCCCCAGCCTACTTCGGGAGCTCTATCTCGTCGCTCTGACGGCTTTTGAACGCGACAAGGACTGGTCGCAAGTCCATCGGACCCTGCAGGCTCTGGCTCGGCACGGGGAGGGGGAGGGCGGGGGGGAGGGCACGCCGGGGTTCAATGGGGTGGCAGGCGGGCGCCTCGCCCGCCTTTGCAACCGTGCCGTGACGTCCGCAGCACGGGACAATCAATGGGAGGCCGCCGTGGCCATCCACGGCGTCATGCAAGGACCGGGGCTGCGTGTGGACCCAGACGTGATCACTTACAACGCGGTGATGCGGGCGCTCTCGGAGACGGACCGACACGAGGCGGCCTTGGACTTGTTGGACGAGATGGTGGAGCGGCACGGCCTCGCCCCAGACTCCGTGTCCTTCACCACCCTGATCCAAGCCTGCGGCCGGGCGGGCGAATGGCGGCGGGCCTTGGCCTTGCTCCATGCGATGGAGGGGGCACGGGGGGGGGAAGGGCGGGGCCTGGGGGAAGACGGGCCGGAGGCAGGGGCGTGGGGGGAAGGGATGAGTGAGCAGGCAGTGCTGGCGGCCGTGGAGGCCTGTGCGGAGAACGGAGAGGTGGAGGAAGGGTTGCAGTTGTGCCAAGAAATTTTGGTGCGACACCTGGGGCCCGACCGAGCGAGGGAGGAGAGGACGCAGGACGCGCAGGTGAGTGCCGTGATTTTCAGCACCATGATCACCTTGGCGTGTCGAAGCGGCGCCCTGCCTCGGGTCCTGGGCCTGTTGGAGAAGCTCCGGGAGCAGGGAATCGCGCCGGACCTCGCCACCTACACCCGGGCCATCAAATCCCTGGGCCGGGAAGGCTACCCGGAGGACGCCTTTACGCTCTTCACAAGCCTGCGCCAGGATCCCAGCGTGACGCTGGATGCGGCCACGTACCAGGCCGCCTTGGACGTGTGCACGCGAGGGGCAGGAACAGGGGGCGAAAGCGCGGAGCGGGCGTTGAGCGTGCTGGAGGGCCTGGAGAAGGACGGGTTGGTCCCCGACGCGATTGCCTACCAGTCGGTCTTACAGACCTTGAGCCAGGCGGGCCGGTGGCAGGAGGCGGTGGGGCTCTTGAGGGCGATGGAAGGGAGGGAGGGAGGGTGGGGGGGCACGGAGATCGCGTACACGAGCGTGGTCAATGCCTGCGCCGGCGCCGATCAGTTGGACATGGCGCTGCGTCTGCTCGACGAAATGGTGGAGGAGAGAGGATTGACGCCCACGGTGGTGGCCTACTTTGCCGTGGTCCGTGCCTGCAAACGGGCGGGTCGTTGGGAGCAAGCCTTGTTGCTCCTGGACGACATGGAGGACCGAGGGGTCCCGCCCGTGTCCTCCGTGTTGGAATTCGCCGCCGACGCCTGCCTGGAAGCCGGGCAAGTCACGCATGCCAGCGGCTTGTTGACCCGAATGCGCGAACGGGGCTTGGACCCTCCCGAAGGATTGTACGCGCGGGCCATTTCCCTGGCCGTGGACGAAGGTGCCGGCACGCAGGCCTTGGGTATGTTGTGTGGGATGGTCTTGCACGGGGGGGGGCCCAGGCGGCCTCTGTACACGGCGGTCCTCCGGGCCGTGGCGCACGGCAAGGAAGGAGGGAGGGAGGGAGGGCGGGAGGGTGGGTGGGGAACGGTATTTGCTGCCTTAGGTAGGACCGCGAGTGCCCTATTGGGGGAGATATTGGAAGAACGGGGCGGAGATGTCGCAGGCAGGAGAGACGTGCGACGGAGACGGCAAGCTTTAGAACTGGTCAGAGAAATCGCGCTGGTGGCAGCCGCAGGGGCGGGGGACTGGCGTCGCGCGTTGTTGTTGTTGAGGGAGCGAGAAGCCCTGGGAGAAGGAGGGGCGGGGGAGCGGTTGGTGGGCTGGGCTTGAGAGCTCGGTACGCATTGGCCATCGAGGCTTGTGCACGCGCGGGCCGATATCGGGAAGGGGTGGCCCTCTTGGAGGGGCGGTCACTGGGCGTGGGGAAGATGGAGGGGAGGGGGAGGGTGTTGAGCCACGTCTTAGTCTCGTTAAGCAGGGCAGGGCAGGGTCCCCAGGCTCTGGCATTGAGTAGACACGCTTTGCGGCCTCCGCTTTCGTGGGCCAATGACATGAGTCAGCAAGGCTGGGGACGTGTGGATGGTGTTGTGGACCGGGAGGAGGCTTCCCCCATGTCTGCCCTACGCTCCCAGCGTCTGCGGGCGTTGCAGGATGAAAGACGTCGGGTCTGGCACCGGTACAACAAGCAGGACATGTATGAAGGTCTGGTGGAAGCTTCCTCATCGTTGTCCTCGACGGAAGCACACCCTGCGACTGCCCCGTACTCCGATGCCCCTCCACAAGGGGAAGAGCGGGATTCCTCCATCCATAGGCACCTCTCGTGGTCCGCCTGGCAGGAGTTGGCGAAGGCCGCCAAGGTCTTGGCCAAGGAAAGAGAAAGCGGAGGGAAGCGAAAACGGAGGAGGAATAGGAAAGCTGTGTCGGAAAGCGGAAACGAGGTGAGGGAAGCTGGAGGGAAAGAAAGCTCTGATCAAGGGGGTGAACTCCTGTGGGTGTTGAAGGCCATGCTGGTAGCAGGCGTGGCCCCTAGCAGAGGCGACTTAGAATGGAGCTTGCAGATGCTAGCGAGTCAAAAGGCATGGGATGCCTTGGAAGACCTCTTAGAGAAAGCAGCTGCAGTTCACGTGGCCGGAGTAGGCAAGGACGAAAGTGTTGTTGGGGAAGATGGAAGAGGGGAAGACATGGGCGGGTCCGG